CGGGGCAGGCCCGCCCCCGACGCCTCGGCGGCCGCGCCGAGCCAGCGAGCGAGCGAAGCGCCGGAGCCAGCGCGCGGGCCGCTGGCGAGGACCCTCCCCCGTCTCCTCCCCGAGGCCGCCCGCCGCCGCCGCCTGGTGCGTCCGCCCGCCCTCCCGCCCGCTCCGGCCCCTCCCCGCCTCTGGACCCTCCCTTAGAGCCGGCTAGCCTCGGGGAGGCCCGGGGAGGCCGGCGCCCGGCTTGGGGGGCGACCGCCGGCCCCCCGCGCACCTGGCGCCCCTTCCTGAAGGGCAAGCCGTCCTCCGGGGCCGGCCCTCCGCCTTCCACCCCCGCGCTCCTAACGGTCGCCCCCGGCCCCCTGCCAAGCTCTGCCGGTGGCCGCTCCCGCCCGCCTGGGGGCCCCCGACCCCAGCGGCCCGGGGTGGCTGGGCCCCGCGTTCGGGGGAGGCCTCCCCAGCGCGTCTCTGGGTTCCTCTCGGAACGTGCTGGGCCTTGCGGGTCCCCAAGTCCAAGCGTTCCACGACTTTGGCCAACATGGAAGCCTTCTCGTCCACCCAGGCACCTCATCTGGGTCCTCCTCACCTCTGTTTCCTTTCCCTCCGGCGACCTTAGTGCTGGGTCATTGGGGTCTCCCTCTTCGCAGTTGCCCGGCCGCAGGAAACACCTTCCGTAGCCGGGGCTGCTTGCTCTCCCCGTCCCCAGGTCAGGCCCTTTCCAGCTCATGCCCCTCCGTGCAGCAGCTCCTTGGCCACAGCGCTCACACTTTGCCTTTAAAAGAAAAAACAATTTCCAAGTAACTTTTTTCAAGCCCCTCGGCTCTCTCCTCCGTTATGCTGTCATTACTCGAATTCCCAGTCAGCCTCCAGGTCTGTTGCACCCTAGGGCCAGGCACTGGGAGATGCTACATAAAGACTTGTTGGCCGGATTGGATTTTTTTTCCCAGCCACCCAGTCTTTCTTCCCTCCTGCCTCTCAAAGTGTCCTTTTGGAAGATCATCAGCTTTCTCATCCTCTCTGCACTGCCCTCCGAGTCCACATAGCAGTTTCAGCTTAGACCCCCGCCAACTCCTGGCATGGAAACACCATCGGTGGTGGCAGTAAGGGTCTCTCCTTTGCTGCTGACATGGAGGATTTGGGGTCTGTCTCCTTCCCATCTCTCCTGTGCCCTTGGCAGACCCAGGCTAGCCGCCCTCCAGCAGGCTAGCCAGCTCCTATCTGCTTTTCTTAGATTGTAGGTCTTGGTCCCTTGGCAGTCAGTCATACCATTGGGAAGGATTTGGGAGTAGACCTGGACTTTGTGTCCCTGCCATTGCCTGGGGGCCAGGGGCCCTGAGGGTCCCATGTGGTGATTAGTCAAGTGGACTGTCTGCTTAAACTACTTGGACTGAGTTTTTCAGCTGTTGGATCCATTGGTCTTGTGTGTGGTCTGATGGGTTAGCCCTAACTTTTATATCTGCGGTTGGCGTTTGGGGCTCAGAACTCAAGGGAGAAAGAATTTAAAAAAAGGCCCCACTTTAGAGGAGAGAAGGGGAGAAGAGGAGGCTAGGTGAAGGATGTTGAAAGTTTAACAAATGTAAAATGGCTTTAGACTTAGAAAATAATGCTTTGAGAGTTTGGGGTGATTACTGCTACCGTGTGTGCCTTCTCCAGACTTGGATAGAGTGTCAGGGAAGTCGCGGCACACTGTCGGAGCAGCTTCCCTTCCTTGTTTTCCCTGGCTAGAGCCCAAGGCTGGGCAAGTGGGCAAAAGGGAATCGCAGGACGTAAAGAGTGAAAATGCTTTGAAAACGGTTAACTTGTAGACAGTTGCCAAGTGGTGGTGTGATTTGCTCGGATGGCTCAGAGAGGAGAGAGCTGGGATAAGTGACCAGCCTCGAGGAATGCGGGCTTGCATCTCTTTTTTAAGCCTCAGCGTCCTCACCCTACCACGCTTGGAGACTCTCCATCCTGAGAAAGGGCCAAATCCCCTCCAGCAGGCCTGGGGCTGAGCGGTCACTCCAGTGTTGGGGAACTGGGGACTCTGTTTCTGTGAATAAGTGGCGCTGTTCTGTGCCAAGGCACAGTGCCCCATGTTGGAGCTAATTTTAGGGGTGATGGGAGTGAGGAGATACTGTTCTTAGCTGAATGTGCAGTGGGACCGCCTGTTCTCCGTCTTTTCCTTCTCGCTTGAGTTCTGAGCCCCAGAGAGCAGGCTCTCTTCCCGCTCCCTGGCGCCTGTTGGAGCACTGGGGCCCAGTGTGTCCTTGCCCCTTGTCTCCGGCAGGGGGCAGTCTTTCAAAAGCATTGATTCAGATGCTTGGGGAGTGAGGGTAGATAGGCCAGAGAAAGAGAAGGGGTGGGGAGGGGACGGGGAGCCAAGGTAGGCCCAGACTCTGGGCAGAGCCAGGGCAGGAGATAGGCTGGAAGGGGCCTGTGAGGAGGAGACCCGGAGTGGGGAGAGCCCAGTAGGGAAAGCTGAGGCAGGCGGGTGGCAGTCCCCCAGCCCCACCACCTTCCGCTCTTGCCTGCCTTAGACAGGGATCAGATGCCTGGCTTTTAGAGTTTGTGATAGACTAACTTTGGCAGGTTTTCTTGAAAACAAAGAAATCTATTATTTTCTCAAAGATTTACTCTTAGCAGGATTTCAGATTTCCCTTGTGGGACAGTGTAATTAGGGAATGGTGTCCCTGCCGTTCAGAGAGGAGAATGACCCAGCATGCACACACGTGGCTTCCCTTGCCTTCCCCTTGGCCCCATAGACCCCAGTGGGCCCTGCCCCTGCTCATGGGGCAGAGGCGGGCACCTCAGCACTGGTGCACTTAGTATCTGGAGTCACATAGCTCTTGGCTGTGGGGCTGTCCTGTGTACCCTGGCTAGTCGTGACAGCCCAGAAAGTCTCCAGACTTGACCAGAAGCCCCCTGAGGAGCAGAGGGGCCCCAAGTCCAGAACCTTTTGGAGGGTGGGAGCCCCATGGTGGCCGATATCTGCATCCCTAGTTCCTTTAGTCCAAGGAAGGGCCTAGGCACCACCAGCTTCTGGCACCAGACCCTGCTGTTGGGGGGGTGCCCAGAAACTTACCCTCACTCTTCTGGTTTCTTACCGAGAAGGTGGGCGGCGTGGGCTTTTTCCTGCCCGCGGCCTGCTCTTTCCCCGCCTGCCTCTCCCTTGTCGTGGTGTTGCCGTGCTCAGGCTGCATGATCCACTCCCCCTTTGTGTGCCCCTTGCAGCCAAGACACAGCCAGGATGGATGACTCGAGAACCCCAGGGCACCCAGGAGAGCTGCCCTTGCTGCGCCTGGTGATGAGTGGGGGGGTGAGACCATCACTTTAATAAAAATTTTTTTTTGAGACAGAGTCTCGCTCTGTCGCCCAGGCTGGAGTGCAGGGACGCGATCTCGGCTCGCTGCGACCTCCACCTGCCAGGTCAAAGCAATTCTGCCTCAGCTTTCTGAGTAGCTGGGATTACACGTACCTGCTACCATGCCCGGCTAATTTTTGTATTTTAGCAAAATTTTGTTTTGCCACATTGGCCAGGCTGGTCTCAAATGCCTGACCTCAGGCGATCGCCTGCCTTGGCCTCCCAAAGTGCTGGGATTACAAGCCTGAGCTACCGTGCCCAGCCACTTTTTCTCTTTAAAGAAGTGTTTAGAATTGTTTCTGTAGAGTGGTGGTCTTGCTCTGTTACTCAGGCTGGTCTCGAACTCCTGTCTTCAAGCCTCCCACAGTACTGGGATTATAGGCATAAGCCGTTGTGCTGGCCAGGCTGTCCTTTTTCTGTTCTGCCCTCTCCCACCTTCATGACTCCAGGACAGGCTTCTGGCCTTCTAGAAGGAATGAACTGGAGGAGGCTCAAAATGGTCTCTCCTGAGGCTGATTTGAAGGAATGTGGGGTGTTTTTCTTGGAGTGGGGAAAACTTAAGTATGCACGGGTTATCTCCAGTTACCTTTTATTCCTTAGAGCTTTTATAAAAGTGATTATTGTGGTAAAATACACAGCAAAATTTGGAGACTTTATCTCTAACTGTGCTGTTCTGTGGCACTGAGCATACACTGAAGTGCAGCCAGGACCCCCATTGGCCCCCAGTTCCCCTCCTCGGTTGAAGCTCTGGACCCTTTAGCAGCTGTTCCCTGTCCTCTCAGCCCGACACCCTTCTACTTTCCACCCGCAATGGGTGTGACTGCTCTAGAGACCTCACGAAAGAGAAGTAAGGGGTAGCTCTCCTTCTGTGGCTGGCCTGTTTCACTTAGCGTCACGTTCTCAAGGCTTATCCAGTCCCTAGATTGCTCAAGGAGGCCACCTGCAGTCAGTGTCAGGATGGTAGCTTTGCGTGGTGTGGAGCACACCTCCACCACGGCATCCAGCTGAGGCCGAGGAGGGAGAAGTCCTGGGGGAGGCCAGCTTGGCCTGGGGTGCCTCTGAGCACCACGATTCCCCCAGGGGTGCTGGGACTCCGAGCAGGCCTCAGCCTGTCGTCGGTTTCGGCTTCAGCTGAGGTGACAGCCTTTCCCTGTAGTGGAACCCCCTTCTTCTTCTTTCCCAGACTGCGGCGTCCTGGAGTTGATGGGAGCTGCAGCACCGTGCCAGGCCAGCCTCCCTCCCAGCCAGTGACTACACCTCTGCAGCACCTGGACCCAGCCCATCTGCCCGTGTCCTCTGCCCTGGGCCCCAGGAATGTGCCTCCTCCTGAGAGTCCCCTCCTTCGTCCCTTAGAGGAACAGGCTGCCACCAAGCTCCCACCAGCCTCCGTTACCCTGACCTTATTTCCACCTGATGGTGCCAGAGGCTGCTTCCCAGCCGGTATCCTAAGATCCTTGTTCCCTTGGTGGCTTGGTTGTTTGAGCCTCCATTCTGGATTGGGGGCGGTGGTCTGGGTGTGATTCCTGTGGAGGAAACCAGCCTGAGGTGCCCTGGCCCAGGCTCGCCTGCCTGGAGTCCTTGGTGTGTACCCGTCTGTGGCCCTGGAGTCACCTCCTGCTCCTTTTCACTGGGTTTCTCCCCAGACCAAGCCCCTGGATTTGAGTCTCTGAGCAGCCAACTGTGATTTTTTTAAGAGAAAGAATTCTGCTCCCTGATTTATTTCTAATTCTTCTCTCCATAACTGGACTTTATCTGTAAGCTATTTGTGGCTCCAGTGGTTTTCGCTTGCTCGCTTGTTTTTGTTTTATCTTTGCCCTGAATGTCCATCCTGGCCTCGGCCACCTCCCTCCCCAAGTTCTGTGCTGGACCTCCTGTCTCAGCCTCCCAGAGAGGGTGCTGCTGCCCGGAGACCACCCTCAGCGATGGACCTCTCTGTCATGCAGGGCAGGGCAGGGCAGGGCTGTTGGCAGAGCCATGACCTGAACCCCGCCTCCTCCCCCTGCTCTCCTTAAGGGTCTTTCCCAGATGTGAAGGTCCCTCCCGGGCTCTACTGAGGCCAGACCAATTCCCAGTGGCTTGGGAACCCTCGTTTACTGCAGCACCAGTGCCTGCCCTCCTGCTTCCCAGGCCAGGCTGCCAGGTGAGCCCCTGGCCGAGGGAGGTCGCCCCGTGGAGGCTGGAAGGACTCGAGTTTCCCGTCTCCTCGCCTCCCCCAGGTCTTTCCTCGTCTGGACTCATCTCTGGGTAACTCATGGTGTGAGTGGCCGTGTGGCTGGCTCAGGTAAGTCCTTTTTAGACCCCAGGTAACTCACTGGCTCATCTGGGGCCCATTGCCATGCCCACCAGGATGTCCCCCAGGGTGTCACCACTGCGCTGTAGAGGTCTCCTGAGTGTTTTATTTTCTCTGGCCCATTTCCCGACAGGTGTTTGGAGAAAGAAACGCCAGGCCCCCTCCTGCCCACCCCCAGCCTCAGAAACACGCCCAGCCCCACGATGGCAGCAGAGACACTCAACTTTGGACCTGAGTGGTGAGTGACGTGCCTCGGCTGCCGTGGAGACTGAGGGAAGCACAGTCAGGCTGCCCTGACCTCTGTCCTTTTCTTTCTGTGACATGTCCAGGCTCAGGGCCCTGTCTGGGGGCGGCAGCGTGGCCTCCCCTCCCTCGTCCCCTGCCATGCCCAAATACAAGTTGGCTGACTACCGCTACGGGCGAGAGGAGATGCTGGCCCTCTATGTCAAGGAGAACAAGGTGGGTGCACAGGTGAAGGGGGTTGGCTGCAATGGCCGTGGCCCGTGGAGGGGACCCAGCAGCATGTGGTGTCTTGGCCATCCCACCCCACTGCAGGTCCCTGAAGAGCTGCAGGACAAGGAGTTTGCTGCAGTGCTGCAGGATGAGCCGCTGCAGCCCCTGGCCCTGGAGCCGCTGACTGAGGAGGAGCAGGTGGGGCCGGGCCAGGAGCTGAGGCCATAGGGGCCAGGAGGGGAGGTCATGGGTGGGGCTAGGAGAGGGGCCAGCGCTGGGGAAATAGGCCAGGAGGGTGCTCTGGGGTGGGAGAGAGGGTGGTGGGGTGTCTGGGTCCTCACTCCTGCCCCGGCTCCCTCCTCAGAGAAACTTCTCCCTGTCAGTGAACAGCGTGGCTGTGCTGAGGCTGATGGGGAAAGGGGCTGGACCCCCCCTGGCTGGCACCTCCCGAGGCAGGGGCAATACTCGGAGCCGAGGTAAAGGAGTAATGGCGTGTCCTGGGGGCGGGGAGATCCGGGTCCCTGGCTTCAAGGGTGTGCAGCAGGTTTCAATGTGCGTCTCACCCTTTCTCTAGGCCGTGGCCGCGGTGACAGCTGCTTTTACCAAAGAAGCATCGAAGAAGGCGATGGGGCCTTTGGACGAAGCCCCCGGGAGATCCAGCGCAGCCAGAGCTGGGATGACAGGTGGGGCCAGGAGGGGGTGCGGCACAGAGCAGGGCAGGCCGTGGAGGGAGGCCTGGGTCCTGTCGCTGGAGGGTTAACAGAGGCCCACCAGATAAGCCCTATCAAAGATCCCTCTGCTCCTGAGGACCCCTGATTTCTTATGTTCCCCCCTCCCTCCCTCCCTCTGCTGCCTCAGGGCACAATGAACAAGGCGCACAGTGGTTGTGCAGGGTTGGGGGGAGGCTGTACTGTTTTTGACCCACACCTTTCCCTGCTGCAGAGGCGAGAGGCGGTTTGAGAAGTCAGCAAGGAGGGATGGAGGTACGAGGCTGCTGAGGGCAGCGGCCAGGGCAGCAGGGATGACCAAGATGGGGGGCCCAGTTGGGAGGTGTTTATTTTGGGAGGTGCTGGGGCAGGAGGGCCTGGAGCTGGCCCCCTATGTTTCCTAAGGGTCTTCCAGGTGCTGCGCTGTCTTTCTGGTAACTGTTTCTCTCTCCCCTTTCCCCAGCACGATGTGGGTTTGAGGAGGGAGGGTCTGGCCCAAGGAAGGAGCATGCCCGCTCAGACAGCGAGAACTGGCGGTCCCTACGGGAGGAGCAGGAGGAGGAGGAGGAGGGCAGCTGGAGGCTCGGGGCAGGGCCCCGGCGAGATGGCGACCGCTGGCGCTCCGCCAGCCCTGGTAAGCTTGGGACCCGGTGGCTTTGGTGGGGGCAGTGGGGGCCAGGGACTGTCATGAGAGGGTGGGCTCCTGTGGGGAGGGGGATAGGGAGCAGAGGCTGGCTGGTGTGGAGTGGCCGGGAGAGCAGTCCTGGAGGTGCAGGTAGTTCTGGGGTACCTGGTGAGCTGCACGAGAGGGGCCACCGGCTTCACTCGGGTACCCACTCGCCCCTCCAACTTTTCCTGCACAGATGGTGGTCCCCGCTCTGCTGGCTGGCGGGAACATGGGGAACGGAGGCGCAAGTTTGAATTTGATTTGCGAGGGGATCGAGGAGGGTGTGGTGAAGAGGAGGGGCGGGGAGGGGGAGGCAGCTCTCACCTTCGGCGGTGCCGAGTGACCGACGGCTTTGAGGAGGACAAGGATGGGCTCCCAGAGTGGTGCCTGGACGATGAGGATGAAGAAATGGGCACCTTTGATGCCTCTGGGGCCTTCTTGCCTCTCAAGGTATCTGTGAAGAGGCGAGGGTGGGAACCGGCCCTTCGGGGTCCTCTTCCTCCCTGCCTACCCAGCTGTTCTCTGACCCCTCCTTGCCCCCATGCAGAAAGGTCCCAAGGAGCCCATTCCTGAGGAGCAGGAGCTGGACTTCCAGGGGCTGGAGGAGGAGGAGGAGGAGCAGCCTTCCGAAGGGCTAGAGGAGGAAGGGTCTGAGGCGGGTGAGCCTTCAGGGCAGCCATCAGGCCTGGGGCTGGGCTGGGCTGGGCGGGCACCTGCGTTCTTTGCTAGGTTGGGTGCTGGCTCCCCAGCTACCTTACCTGTAGGACCAGGCCAGGCTGCTTTGGATCGGAAGAAGAGTGCTGAGAGGTGGAGAGGAAGCAGGGTACAGCAGAACCCTGTCTTCAAGGCAGTGTGCCAGATAAAAATCAGGCATAATTAAAATGACCTTTGAACACCCCTCGAAGGCCAGACACAGTGGCTCACGCCTGTAATCCCAGCACTTTAGGAGGCTGAGGCGGGTGGATCACCTGAGGTCAGGAGTTCGAGACCAGCCTCTGATCAACATGGTGAAACCCTGACTCTTGAAAAAGCTGTAGAACTTGAGGTGAAGTCTGCAGTGCTGTGTGGTGTTGTACGGCGTTGTGATGTGTTCTGCCGTATCTGGCAGCATGGAGGCGAGGGTCAGGGCACCGCGTTCCCTCTCTGCTACTAGTTGACTCCAGTGAAGTGGTGGACTTGGCCCAGGGGGCTGTGACTCGGTTCCAGCCACACTCGAGGGCTTGTGCTAACTCATGTGGCAGGCCCAGCCCATGTTTCTGAATTCTGGTCATCTCCGTCCTCTAGGTGGGAAGGAGCTGACCTCACTGCCTCCCCAGGAGGAGAAGCCCAGTTCCCCATCCCCGCTGCCCACCTTGGGCCCATTCTGGGGGACTAATGGGGATGGGGACGAAGTTGTGGAGAAAGACCCCACAGCCGCCGATGGTAGGAAGGGAGGATGGCTTACCTCCCCTGTACCCTGGGGCTGCACGAGAAAGTGCTCCCCTCCCACGGGGGTGGGCACACAGGGCATTTACGTCGAGGAGCCATGGCAAGAGCATGGTGTTCTGGAGTAAGGGTGGGTGGGGGTTGTCTTGTCTCCTCCCTGCCTTCCCTTCCACCTCCTGTTTTCATGCCTTCTAGATGATATTCGGGGGATCCAGCTGAGTCCTGGGGTGGGCTCCCCCACTGGCCCACCCGGAGATCTGGAGGATGATGAAGGCTTGAAGCACCTGCAGCAGGTGTGGGGCTGAGAAAGCTGAGGGACCCTTCCCACTGCTCCTGACCTCCAAACTGCCTGGCTCTAGCTTCTTCTCATCCCCATCCCCAACCTGATCTTGCTGAGATTGGCAGCTGAACCTTGCTTCTCTTCCTGGGCTTCCAGGAGGCAGAGAAGCTGGTGGCCTCCCTGCAGGACAGCTCCTTGGAGGAGGAGCAGTTCACGGCTGCCATGCAGACCCAGGGCCTGCGCCACTCCGCAGCTGCCACTGCCCTCCCGCTCAGCCATGGAGCTGCCCGGAAGTGGTTCTACAAGGACCCGCAGGGCGAGATCCAAGGTACCTGTGTGGGGCAGGAGGACTGCTCAGGGCCGTTCTGGTTCAGGGTGTCTCTGGTGTACCCCGTGACCCCAGTGGTTCTCCTGCTCCCTCGCTCTCTGTCCAGGCCCCTTCACAACACAGGAGATGGCAGAGTGGTTCCAGGCTGGCTACTTCTCCATGTCGCTGCTGGTGAAGCGGGGCTGTGATGAGGGCTTCCAGCCGTTGGGCGAGGTGATCAAAATGTGGGGCCGCGTGCCCTTCGCCCCAGGGCCCTCACCACCCCCACTGCTGGTGAGCCGCTTCTCTGCTGCATGAAGGGATGGGGTGCGGTGGGGGGTGGGCAGGAGCCCAGCGGAGCCCCCTCCTCCGTGCCTCAGGCACTGGCTCAGCTGTCGCCTGAGCAGGGCAACATGGACCAGGAGCGGCTGAAGAAGCAGCAGCAGGAGCTGGCTGCGGCGGCCTTGTACCAGCAGCTGCAGCACCAGCAGTTTCTCCAGCTGGTCAGCAGGTATGGGGGCCCGGGGTGGGCTGGGAGAGGGCCAGGCACTGGCTCTGTGGCCCATCACCCCTGCTGTCCTGTTGGCAGCCGCCAGCTCCCGCAGTGCACGCTCCGGGAGAAGGCAGCTCTGGGGGACCTGACGCCACCGCAGCAGCAGCAACAGCAGCAGCAGCTCACGGCGTTCCTGCAGCAGGCGCTCAAACCCCCCAGGTGCATGGCCATGCAAACTCTCAGGATACAGGGCAGGGGGACGGGGTTGGACCAGAGATAGATGTGGGGTCCTAAGCATCCGTGATTTGCCCCTCAGAGGCGGGGACCAGAACCTGCTCCCGACGATAAGCCGGTCCTTGTCGGTGCCGGATTCAGGCCGCCTCTGGGACATACATACCTCAGCCTCATCACAGTCAGGTGTGTGGCCTGCCTGGCCCCCAACCCCCAGGCAGTCTCTGGGTGAACTGGGGCCCAGGGTCTGCTCCCCACCCTCACACGTGGCGCTAGCTGCCATTCTGGCTGGAGAGGCCACTGCCGTGGCTGAATAAGACCGGTGGGCCTGAGCGCCCACCTGCAGCTGCCTCTGCCCCCTGCCCCCTGCAGGTGGTGAGGCCAGTCTTTGGGACATACCAATTAACTCTTCGACTCAGGGTCCAATTCTAGAACAACTCCAGCTGCAACATAAAGTGAGTAGGCGTCCTGGGGCTGAGGCCCTGGGAGTGAAGGGCAGACCAAGGAGGGCCCCAGTCTGTCCCCACAGCTCTGCCCTCTGATCGGCCACTGGTCTCAGTTCCAGGAGCGCAGAGAAGTGGAGCTCAGGGCGAAGCGGGAGGAGGAGGAGCGTAAGCGCCGGGAGGAGAAGCGCCGCCAGCAGCAGGAGGAGCAGAAGCGGCGGCAGGAGGAGGAAGAGCTGTTTCGGCGCAAGCAGGTGGGTGCTGCCCAGCCTTGGCTGGTTAGGGCAAGAGCCCTCGCCGGGTCTCCTCACTGTGTACCCTCGCCATGTCCCCCTCTTAGGTGCGGCAGCAGGAGCTGCTGCTGAAGTTGCTACAGCAGCAGCAGTCGGTCCCCGTGCCCCCTGCGCCCAGCTCCCCGCCCCCGCTCTGGGCTGGCCTGGCCAAGCAGGGGCTGTCCATGAAGACACTGCTGGAGTTGCAGCTGGAGGGCGAGCGGCAGCTGCACAAGCAGGCCCCGCCTCGGGAGTCAGCTCGGGCCCAGGCCCCCAACCACCGAGTGGTGAGCAGGCCAGGAACCTCCTGGGCGCCCCCCCATGCGGTTTCCAGCGTGGCACAGGGAGGGGATTGCTGAGCCCAGACTTATGCAGCCCAAGCCCCAGCCCCTTCCGTGATGGCGATGGCTCTTGTGGCCCCTGCCTCACCCCTCTCCCTTTGCCATCTAAACAAGCCTCCCCTTCTGCTTTTCTGGGGTGTGTTTGTTTGAATTACTCTGACCTTCTGCCATCTGTAGCAGCTTGGGGGCCTGGGCACTGCCCCCCTGAACCAGTGGGTGTCTGAGGCTGGGCCGCTGTGGGGCGGACCAGACAAGAGTGGGGGCGGCAGCAGCAGCCTGGGGCTCTGGGAGGACACCCCCAAGAGTGGCGGGAGCCTGGTCCGAGGCCTCGGCATGAAGAACAGCCGGAGCAGCCCATCTCTCAGGTGGGCACGGCACCTGGAGGCTCCACAGCGGGCCTGGGGCAGAACGTGGCAGATCTCCCCCGCCCCCTTTCCCCCCAGCTGATTTCCGACCCTAACTCAACTCACCCCCTTCAGCGACTCATACAGTCACCTGTCAGGTCGGCCCGTTCGCAAAAAGACAGAGGAAGAAGAGAAGCTGCTGAAGCTGCTGCAGGGCATCCCCAGGCCCCAGGACGGCTTCACCCAGTGGTGCGAGCAGATGCTGCACACGCTGAGCGCCACGGGCAGCCTGGATGGTGCGAGCCAGGCTCCCAGGAGTTGGGCGGGGTCTAGGGCATCTAACCCGGCCACGGAGCCCTGACAGCCCTCACCCATCCCACAGTGCCCATGGCTGTAGCGATCCTCAAGGAGGTGGAATCCCCCTATGATGTCCACGACTATATCCGTTCCTGCCTGGGGGACACGCTGGAAGCCAAAGAATTTGCCAAACAATTCCTGGAGCGGAGGGCCAAGCAGAAAGCCAGCCAGCAGCGGCAGCAGCAGCAGGTGAGGCCCGGGTGCTGGCTGCTGGGGTGGGCTTGCCTGGCGCCTCCTGACCCTCGCCCTCCTCTCCACTGCCTTAGGAGGCGTGGCTGAGCAGCGCCTCCCTGCAGACGGCCTTCCAGGCCAACCACAGCACCAAACTCGGCCCTGGAGAGGGCAGCAAGGCCAAGAGGCGGGCGCTGATGCTGCACTCAGACCCCAGCATCCTGGGTGAGCTGGGCTGGGGCAGGAGCGGGACTTCCTTGGCACAGGGCAGGAGGAGCCCAGGAGAGAGCTCAGACCCAGCTTCTTCCCGGCTTCAGGGTACTCCCTGCACGGATCTTCTGGTGAGATCGAGAGCGTGGATGACTACTGACCAGCCCGGACCCCCAGCCCCTGGGCTGTAGGCCAGGGCGGCAGCAGAGGCGTGGACCTGAGGGTCGCAGCCTGCAGGCTTCCTGCAGGGAGCAGAGGAGGAGGCAGGGGCGGGGTCCCCAGCACTTGTTACAAACACACGATGCACCTTAACTCACCCACCACGAGGCACTTTACAGACTGGGGGAGGGGTTTTTTTTTTTAATTTTTTATTTTAAATGACTTTGAAGAAAATGTAGGAGAAGCAAAAATATTGTTAACTAGACTCTAAACACCCCTTCCCGCTGCGGGGATAGTGGGTGTGACAATGGAAGGTCCACAGAGGTTTTTTTTTTTTGTTTTTTTTTTTTTTTTTTTTTTTTTTTTTAAGAAAAAATGAAAAATGAAAAAAAAATTATTAGGAGGCTGAAAGAAAAAACACACTGTTATTTTGGGGCAGTTGGGGATACAGGCCCTGTGGACCTGTCTTGCCTGGCCCCCAAGGCCACACTTACCCCCCACCAGAAGGCGGGCCATGGGGTAACTGGAAGCTCGGGGCCAGCAGTTTGCACAGGAGGCCTGTCTGAGCTCCGCCTGCCAGACCCACTGTAAGCAGCTTCCGTAGCTGGGGCTGGCTGAGGTGTCCGGGATGGGGCCAAAGTAGCCCCTCAGCTTTGCTGCTTTGGGGGACAGTTGCACAAATTGGAAGAGCAGCCCCAGCTCCGCAGGCTACCATCCTGTGCTGGCTGAGGGATAGCAGGGGACGGGCTGTGCCAACCTCTGGCTGGCAGGGTGGGGCTGCAGGATTCTCGACTGTGGTCCTGGTGAGGGGTGTCCCCCACCGCTGCCATTTTGGGGGATGCCCTGTGTTTGAACCTGAAAGCCCCAGCTCTCTGCCTTGCCACGTGAATGTATTCTTTGGGCCACAAGCCCCCGCCTCACCCCTGCCTGGCTCCTGCCTCACCCCTGCGAGCGGCGGGGGTGGATGATTGCTCCGGAGGCTGCAGAGAGAAGGCTGAGCTGTTCCTCCAGTAAAGGGGGCAGGAGGGGCCTCGAAGGCAAGGAGTGGGTGGCTTTGGGCTTAGGGTTGCAGTGGAGGGGCTGCCACCCCGGTCCCCAACCTGTAGCCAGCTCATGGGGTGTAGACCACCCAGTTCTGCATCTGATCCCTCTACTGACCAAATGGGAGAGGAACGGGCAGCCTCCCTGGTCTGATGCGATGCGCTTTTTACTTTTGGGTAAGGTTGGGGTGAAGAGAAGCGTGCGGCTCCTGGGTCAGGGGAGGCTGCCCCTTCTGTTGCTCACCGACTTTTTATTCCTGGTCCACTAGTTGGGTTTGTCTCCACGCATTTTGGGTTGTAAGTTTTGTCTTTTGGGTTCCTCATCCAGCTCCTCCCATTGACCTCATTGCTCAGAGTGCAGTATTAGGGCAAGGTTCCGCCACTGCCTTCCTCCATGAATGTATTTCTCCCTCCTGCCCTGGGGACATGGGGAGTGGCCCATTTCTTTCCCCATCTAGCCCCAGAAAGATGATGGTGTTTGGGTTTTTGTTGCTTTTTTTTTTTTTTTTTTTTTTTGCACCAAAGTGGCAACTGGGTCAGTGTTGGGGGATCAAGCTGGCCTCGGGGTGGGGAGCCCCCACCTGCCTCTCCCTGGTTCCCACAGTGTTAGCGTCCCTGAAAAGACAATATTCTCTAAAGCAATAAGGGGTGACGGGCCGGGGGGAGTGTCTGCTGCTGCTGGCCCCCAGCTCCCCTTCCCTCTTGCCAGGTGTGGGGGAGACTCCTGTTGTGACTGAATGTAAGCCCCCCGCCCCTGCCACAGCCAATGCAGGGGAAGGGGGGGCACTCTTCCTGTCTCTTCCTGCCCCTTCTCCCCAGCTAAAGAGACTTTGGACTTAGGGGGCCCATGAGCCTGGAGAGGCCTTAACCCTGTGAGGAAGAGTAGGGGGAGCCCTCTCCCACCCCTATCCCCTTCTGAGAGTGGTCAATGTTTACAAGCCCCTGAGCCCCCCTGCCCAGGGACTCAGACTCTGTTGCTGTCCTTCCCAGCCCTGGTCTTCCTGGGCCCTCGCTGCTCCTCTGCCCTTTCTGGGGTTGGGGTGGGTGCAGGGGTCACTGTGTTTCCTGTCTGCCTTGTACCCCCAATCTCCCCACCCCCTCTCCACCCCGTGTGACTTCTCTGTCTTTTACCTGCTCTGTAAATACTCCCTTCTCCCAATAAAACTTGGTGTGTGTTCTCCCATTCTGCCTCCACTGCTCCTTATATGGGGAGGGCAATGGGGAACTAGAAGCTCTGAGCAGGGCCCACTCTGGTCAGCACCCTGGCCTGGGCTGCTTATCTGAGAATCTCTGGAAGGCTCTGGCCTGGGAGTTTGGCTTTGCTCTGAGAGAGATTGAGACCCCCCCTCCTCCCCGTGACTGCTTGGTTTACCCTCCCCTGACAGCCATCAACCAGCAAAGACCAGAAACAAGGAGGACACAGCAAGGGCAGAGACCAGGTACAGAGTTGGAATTGGCTCCTTTATGGAAAAACTGAAAATATAATAAAAATTAAAATAAAACCAGTTTTAAAAAAGCCAGCCCCTGGGATTTTTACCTCCTGCCTCTGGCCCTCCAGAGGGGTGAGGCCCTAACCCCAGGGCAGCAGAAGGATGAGGGCCTCCTGCCCCTCCTCTTCCCCCATTCCATCCCCTTATCTCCACAGTGGGGGCCCCGGGAGGAACCAAACTTGGGTGGGAGGGCAGGGACCCAAGGCCCCGTGGCCCAGGGAAGGGGGCTGGGAGTGCCCCCAGCCCCACAGCCCCGGAGTGTAGTGTGGGCGTGGGCAGGGTCCCTCCTGGCCTGGGCCCAGCAGGGGTGGGGCCATTAGTTCCAGATCTTGAGGAAGGAGTCCCAGGAGCCCGTGGCCACAGCCATGCCATCATCAGTGACCCCGAGGCAGCTCACACGGTTGTCGTGGCCAGCAAGGACCCCTGTGAGGGAGGAGGGAGACATCAGAACCCATTTGGCACAGGCTCCAGGTCCCTGCCTGTCAATCTGGGACCCCAGCTCTCACCTGCACGGTCGCCCTTCATGGCATCCCAGATGTTGCAGTTGAAGTCGTCGTAGCCAGCGAGCAGCAGCCGGCCACTGCGAGAGAAGGCAACAGAGGTGATGCCACAGATGATGTTGTCATGGGAGTACATGAGGAGCTCCTGATCGGCCCGCAGGTCAAAGAGGCGGCACGTGGCGTCATCAGAGCCAGTGGTGAAGGCGTAGCCGTTGGGGAAGAACTGCAGGACACAGGACCAGGGTGGGGTGAGGGCAAGGGGCAGGGCTGGAAGCCTGCTGGGGAAGGCCTGGCCCAGCTCACCCTGGAACTCACAGCCACTGCGTTGATGTCGGATTCGTGGCCAATGAAGGTCTGTCGGCACATGGAATCCCGAACGTCCCACAGCTTGATAGAGGCGTCACAGGCGCCTGACACAAACGTGCGGCCATCAGGGGCCAGGGACAGGGACATCACATCCCCACTGTGTCCAGCAAAACCCACTGTCTGCTGGCCTGTCTCAATGTCCCACAGGGCACTGGAGAGGTGACAGGAAGAAGGAAAAGATAAGAGAGCGAGCAAAGGACAGAGTCCCCACTCTCCCCGCCCCACCACGTGAGCCCAGTCCTGTGGAAGGATCAAAGGAGGCTCTTGTCAGAGCCTTAGGTGGTGGGGACGCATCCCTCCCTGACCCCCTTATCGCCCACCAGGAGAGGGAGGCTATGGTGCAAGCTGTGTGCTGAGCACTGGGACAGTGGCCCCCGAGGCAGGAAGTGTGGGTTCCCCTAGACTGCCCAGCCCTGGCAGAGCCTCACCAGGTGGTATCCCCAGAGCTGGTGATGATTTGGTTGTCATCCAGGAAGCGGCAGCACGACAGGTACCCTGGGGAAGGAGCTGGTCAGCCAGGTCTCCACACAGAGGGCAATGTACCCCCCCCCACCACCCCAAAAAGGGCCCGAGCCAGGTCAGGCCCCTCACCAGTGTGGCCAGGCAGCTCCCTGCTGACCCTGACATTGCCCTCGCGGGTCTTGAGGCTGTAGATGGAGCAGATGTTGTCCAAACCCCCACAGGCCACAAAGTTCCCTGAGGGCGCGTAGGCACAGGTCATGACCCAGGAGGAGCGTAGCGGGATGGCATGAACCTACGGAGCAGGAGTAGCGCCCGGGTCAGAGCCAGCCAGGGCCCTGCGCCCCCACCCCGCCCTGCAGCCCGTGCCACCCTACTTTGTTGGTGGTGTAGCTGTCCCAGATGATGAGCTTCCCATCCTGGGAGGCGCTGACCAGCAGCCTGGTGGGGAACAGTTCGGGGAGAGCAGAGGGTTGTGGCTTGAAAGCAAGATACACCCCCCTCCCATTGGGTGGGAGGAGGTAGGGTCTTTCTCTGTTGCCCAGGCTGAAGTATAGTGGTGCCATCACAGCTCACTGCAGCCTGGAATTCCTAAGCTCAAACAATCCTCCCACCTCAGCCTCCACAACATAGCTGGGACTGCAAGGCTGATCTCAAAACTCCTGGGTTCAAGCAATCCTGCCCTGGACTCCCAAAGTGCTAGGGTTACGGGTGTGAGCCCCCTGAGAGACAATCTCTGGCTGCACCCCACAAGTTCCCAAATGATCCTGCCTATCCAGGTCTGGCAGGCATGTCTGGGAGTCACCATCTTTCCAGACACATTCTGGCTATTCTGGCAGCCTGCTCACCCCACCAGATCTGAGGCTGCCCCCACAGCCTGCTACAAAGCCGGCTCACAGCGCCAGCCCGTACAGCCCGTGTCTACACACACACACACACCTTGAGTCGGTCCCCCAGTGCATGGCATAGATCTTCGCCAGATGCCCACGAAGGGTCCTCCGGGTCCTCATCTGGATTCTCCCCACTGGGTCCAGCCCAGCTGTGATCTGGGTCAGTGTTGAGTCCCCACATGCTTTTCGGGCATCCTGTAGAGGGTGGCAGAGCCAGAGGGACGCGAGAGAAGGCAGGTTGGAAAGGGAAGGAGGGAAGAGAACAGAAGACAGGGGTGTGCAGGGTCAGATTCTGAGCCATTAAACCCTCCCTCCCCCTGCCCCCCACCAACCCGCAGAAAAACCCAAACCAAGCCCCGTTCAGGGCACCCGGTGGGGTACACACAAACCACCCACCCCGCGCCAGGCCCTCACCCGGATCTGGTTCCGGAGCTGCTCGGCCTCCTGTCTCAATTGCTCCAGCTCACTCATGGCGCCGGGCCCGTGGGGCGGGGTTGGGGGCGGCTGGGGGCCGCGGGACGGGGGCTGGGGGAGGCAGCTCCTGGCCGCTGGCCCGAGGCCTGGGGGATGCAGGGCTGACGTCAGGCCCGAGGCCGCCGGGGAAGTGGGGGGAAAGGCGGGGTTGCAGCGCGGCCCGGAAGGGGTAAGCACGGGGAGGTGGAAGGGGCGGCGCGGCCGCGGTCCCCCGGCACAACCAGGGTCTCTGGCACCGGAGACGTCGCCGAGTAAGAGCCGACTTCCCCAATCTTCCTCCCGCCCCCCGGAAACGGAGCGGGAAGTGGAAGAGGAAGCGCAGGGGAAACCCCTCCCTTGGACACAGCCCGGGCGGGACACCCGCGGCAGGAACTGGGGGGGGGGGCGGGTGTCCCTTCGAAAACAGACCTGGCGTCTGCCCCAGCCCGCACAGGCACCGCCCTCCAAGCACCTAATTTTAAAAGGGGCGGTACCTCTTGAAATTCACCCCCACACGCCGCACACCCTCCACACACACCCCCAGCTTCGACAGTGGCGGGTGTGGGGGGGAACACCAGAGGGGAAAGCTGGGCTGTTCGTGGGGTTGCCTAGGCAACCGTCACCCGGACCGAGAGCACCTCATTGGTGAAATGCCCCCACCCTAGCCCCGTTACTAAGGCAACCGCATCCACGGCAGAGACCTGTAGGGTGGGTGACCCCACCCCCGGCCCCATCGCCCCCGCCCGACCCAGCCTCCCGCCCCTCCCCAGAACCGGCCCAGGTGGCTGTTTACAGGATTTGGGAAAAGCCGATTGGGCGCTAATAGGTTCTGGACGGCTCACCCGGGATAATCCCCTGTCCGGCTGCGCCCCATTAGCCGTCCGCCGCGGGTGGGGGCGACAGCGGCGGGGAAGGCAACCCGGAGCTGTTGCTCCCTTCAGCGCCGAGGCCGCCCGCCCCGCCGCGCCCACAGAAAGCCCGTGGGGGCCGCTCTCGAGTAATTACGGCTCCGCAGCCAGGTTCCCGGCCCCAAGGCGCGGAGCTGCTCTCTCCCAGGCGCGGGCAGGAGGCCCCAGGCGGCCGGGCCCCAGCGCCCTGGACACCCGAAGGGCCCAGCCCGCGGGCTTGGCGCCGGGGCCCCAAGGACCTGGCTTGCTCCGCTCCAGGCGCCAGAGTCCTGTCCCCCCCCGCCCCGCGGGACACCTGTGTGATACGGCCACGCACACTGCACTGGGCCGGCCCAAGCGTCCCCCACCCAGCTCCCACTTCCCCCAGGTTCCTCTTTCCCACTGACATTTCTCCTCCTTGTAAGTTCAGCTTTCTACGCCAGTGCCAGGGGGTGCTCCTCAAAATCCGGGAGTGGGGGGCGCGGGCAGAACTCCTTACTCCACCCATCCCCCAGGCCCGCACAAAGCCTGGTCCAGCTACCAGCAGCCCAGGCCTGGCGGCCGGAGGCCCGGGGCAGAAAGAAGCAGGGCAGGAGGAGGAAGCCACTGAGGGCGGGGGAGACGCTCTCAGCCCTCGGTCCCCATCACCCTCCAGTGCCCTCAGCAGCCCCCAGATTCTGGGGATATAGCAGCCGGGGCTCCATAGAGAAATGGGGGTGCCACCGCCTCCGCAGGTCTGGCGGGGCACAGGAGAGGTGACGGGAGGGTCCCCGGATCTGGCAGCTGGTGCGGCGCTGCGAAGCGCTGTGGGCCTGGCCCTCCAGCCCCCACGACCTCCATTTTGCCCAAAAGAAAGCTGGTCGGGGGGCGGGCGCCTGGGAGCTGGGCTTGGGGTCAGGATCTGTAAAGGGAATAGGGCACCGAGGGCTCCGGTTTCGGGGAGTGGGGTCAGAAACCACGGGCAGAACCCAAATGAGGAGTAGGGTGGAGACGAAGGGAAGGGTGGCCTCACGGCCTTGCCTGCTTCCCCCTGATTTTGGAGTTTTGCAAGGCGAGGGCCAGCAGGGGTGCGACCGTGGAGGACACGAGGGGTGCTCCCAGGGGGCAGGCGGGAGGGTGGTGGTGGGGAAAGGGGGCG